ACTTCCTTCTACAAATGAGACCAAGAAACGCAAATACAACTATAAAAAAACACATGAAAAAAACACGCAAAGTTGTTTTTTTTAATCGAAAAAGGTCCAGTTTTTTCCCTTCATTACCCTGTGTGTGCAGGATTTGTTTTATGGGGTGCAACCAACCACACAGAGTTTCTCTCATATCTAGCCAAATTTACTGCTCAAGCTTACAGGGGCTGAGCTCATGAGAGACTAGGTTTTGGGCCCCTAAACGTAAACCCGAGATCTACGGCACGGACCCTAAAAGGGAAAAATCTACCTTTACAGTAAGTTACACCCTGACCGTATGACAGAAAGTAAGGCGACAAACATTTTTGGTAGCTGTAAAAGTGTTTAAAACACCCGGGAAGACCTCGAGGTCTGGCGTAAAGCTGCTTCACTATTACTGAAAAAGAGAAAATTAGTTCGTGCTAATTTTTGGTTCAATTCACCCCAGTAAAAAAAGAAAAAAAATGCAACTTTTTTTTATAACCACCAGCCATCCCCCCTAAAGTAGTTTTTTCCCCCCCCCCCCAAAAAAAGAAGGGAAAAATTCTTGCCAGAATTCCAATATCACAGTTCAATCCCCCTGAGCAACAACATCCTCGTCCCCCTTAGACTGCAGATACTTTCCTTTTCACCCGCAAGCTCAAATGTGGCTAACGTTTTCCTAAAATCCTTTATAAATTTTTACTTTTTCTCAACTCTAACAGATATCAATCATAAAAACCAAAATTTCCTCCACTCACTCTAATCTGATGCACTCACACAAACTTGTTTAATTTCAAACCTTAGCATTCAAAACCTTTACCCCCCTTTCCCAAACCCAAACCTTTTCTTGAATGACCCCTACCCTTCCATAAATTTATATACATGTACTTTCCTAGTAATCCATTTTTCTCCCCCCCTTTCTAAATGCCCCTAATCTCCCTCAAAAAAACCCCTTCCCAGCCCTCTGATATACGTATACTTTTTGTAACCCCACACCTAATCTCCAAACTCTAAATTTCTGCATACATTCACACAATACTCATCCTCAAATACATCATCTCACTTTTTCTGGGCCCCCTCTTTGATGCAAATTTTAAAACCCACGCTTCACACCCCTAAAACATGTAGGTCCACAAAACTCAATTACAACCTATTTTTTTCCTCCATGCCTTCACCACCCACCTCTTTTTTCCCTTTTCAGCCTATGGGTTTACCTCATTTTTCATTTACCCTATCCACAGAAAAGTCCACTCCCAAATTTCTTTAAAACATTTTCTTTTACGTTTTTTTTTTTTTTCAAAAACGAACAATTTATCAGCACCCCAGTGAGGATTTTAAAAGAAAATGAATATAGCCATTTTACCCACCAACCCCAGCAAAAAACTTTCCCGGGTCCCTTGAAATCGAATAGGTGTAGCAGTTTTCCATAAGACCTTAAAGAAATTTTCAAAACTGTTAGGCCAAATACATTACCAGAGATTTACCTACACTCCTTTATGAGCATAAATATGCCTGTAGGATTGACAAAACTACAAAGCAGTGCAGTGCAAACCCAACTTATTTCCTGTTATGCATGGGAAAGTTACTCTCATTTCCCAAGAAAATGACAGAAATAATCACAGATGTCTTGAAGCTTCGACCACTGCACTCCCCAACAATACTCAAGAAAACAGGAAGATGTACATCTTGGCTAGAAACCATCACTCGCATCATCCTAGATCACCACATATTATATTTAGTGGGGAGTGCTAAATCCATAGGGGTCATACACTGCCTAGGGTAATAGGTAGTGATTCGATACAAGAAAGGGAAGGACATGTCCAATTCTTTGGATCAAGAGGCCTTCACTGGCCTTAACGAACTTCCTTTCTAGATCACAACAAAAAACCTAACATAAGCCAGAAAGCTTGTTGTAATGCCCCTCTTGCACTGCATTATCTGACACACTTAACCTGGTCTTACTATACATTATATGTGTTTGGTGAAATGTTTTCTGAATATGTACAGAAAATCCCCAATTTCATAAACTAATACAGAAAGAAAGCGGCCAGTAATAGCAACCGTGGTAGAAAGAGATAAGATTGTTTTGCTTTGATGGTAACAGTTACGGACAATTCTGTAACCAACAAACTCTCTCCATTACTGTCAAATACAGACTCAGAAATTTTGTCCTTTATTTCTGAAAATTCTTAAAACAAGGTCACTTAAACTGAAAGATTATTATACGTGATTAATCCCTTTCATGAATGAAATTTTTTTTTAACATACTGGGCGTCTCTCACCAAGACAGGGTGATTCAAAAAAAGAAACAGTTTCACCGTCATGCAAACTACCACTGTCTTGCCAGAGGTGCACATATATGACAGTTTAATGTCACTTTAACCCTTTGACTTTCGCAAGCCCCTTTCTGAAACTGTCATTCTATGTCAAAAAAAAAAAAAAAATCCTATGAAATGATAGAGAATCTTTTCCAGATGGTAATGACACCAAAAGTGCAAAATTTGGTCGAAAACTCACAGAATTACGCTCCCACGAAGTTAGTGGTCTCGGCGACATATACGCATCAGCGATATTGCTGACTTTGAGCCCCATTTTTGGCTAATTGCGTTGTTCCAGTTGACCAAGCTCATAGTTATTTCTTTAGAACTCCATTTTTTCTATCAACTGAGTACAAGAAACTGCCCATTTACCAATTTGAACTACCCAATAAAGTGGTCAGAAATTGGCAATTTGGTCAATTTCATGCAAATTAAAAAAGATGCCAATTTCAAAATAGGGTCCAGAATAAACAATGTAGACATTCTTGGCACTAAAACAACATATCCTCTGTTCATTAGTCACATCTCTAGGCCCCTCTTATATTACTATTGCTTTCTATTTTGATTTTTTATTCATACAAAAAATAGAAGATTTACTGTTATGCAGAACTCTGCATTATTGTAAAAATGGTATAAATAATATCAGTGCACTAGTGAAAGATTATTAGACTCCCCAGTTGATGTGTATTGGACGTGTGGTGTGATTTGCTTACTCTTGAACATTGGTAAAAATCGAGCATTTCTGCTACTTTGAGCTCAATTTCAAGGTCATTTTCATTGTGAAACTAATCAAAATCACCTCTATCTCTGTAAAATGTTTTCCATTTTATCACATGAGACCATGAAAACCAGAATACAGTGATAAATACTATATGAAAATACACCTCAAAGTTGGCATTTTAATCCAAAAAAAATGGTTAGATTTCTTTTTTCTCATTATGCACTGCGTGCTGCAGGATTTTTTTTATATGGTGCACACCGACCACAGAGACCCATTCTCTCACATGTGGGCCTACCAGCTTTCTCCCGCTTGATTTGAAGCCGCTAGAATTATTAAGTATATATACATCCGAAACACTGGCCCGTAAGATGTATATATACGACCAAAACAGTCACAGGGATAAACAGCAAATACCCCAAACCCCTCATTTAGAGTGCAGACATTGTACTTCCCATCTCCAGGACTCAAGTCAGGCTACATGGTTTCCCCACACTCCACCAGCTCATCAAGTCCCAAAAACCATTTGCCTCCACTTACCCCTATCTAGCATCCTCACACATGCCTGATGTATGTCCAGGCCCCCTGCATACAAAGCTTCCTTTACCCACTCCCTCCAAGCTTTCCACGGATGAACTCTACCCTGCCTTTCCTCCACTATAGATTTATACACCCTCCAAGTCATTCTATTTTATTTCATCCTCTCTAAATGACCAAACCACCTCAACAACCCATCCTCAGCCCTATGAATAATACTTTTGTTAACTCCACACCTCCTCCTAATTTCCAGAATATAAATTCTCTTCATAATACAGCCTCTCCTCACTTAGTGACATACTCATTTACCGATGTCTCGGACTTACGACAGGCTCTCTGACCAATATTTATACCTAAATAATGTATATTCCTGCTGATTTTCTCTATTCTGTTTATTTCAATATACAGTACACAACTGTATAAACATTTAAAAATATACCAGAAATGTTATAAATGGTGCAAAGGTGATATTAAAACAATATCATGATTGGCTGACACAAACCCACTATTATAGTATGCTCTTCACTTAGCTATGAATTTGTTTAATGACGTGGTCTTAGGAACGGAACTCCATCATTAAGTGGGGAGAGGCTGTATTGATGCCACACACTGACCACAGACACAACAGTACTGCCTCCAGCCTCTTTCTCACTGCAACATTCACACCCATATAAGAGTTGGTACCACTGTATTCTCATACATTCCTTTCTATGCCTCCAAGAAAAACATTCTGTCTCTCCAGAGATACCTCAATGCACTGCCCACCTTTTTCCCTTTATCACTTCTATGGTTTACCTTGTCTTTCATATACCCAGATGCCAACACGTTCACTCCCAAATATGTGAACACATTCACTTCTTTCATACTTCCTACCTCCACTCTGATATCCATTTTTTTCCTCCTAACTCATTTGATACCCTCATCACCTTACTTCTATCTACATTCACTTTCAACTTCCTTTATACACCCTCCCAAATTCGTCCACTTACTTTTGCAACTTCTCCAGAATCTCCCAAAAGCACAGTATCATCAGCAAAAAGTAACTGTGCCAACTCCCATTTTGTATTTGTTTCTGCATATTTTAATCCCACCCTTCTCCTCAACACCCTAGCATTTACTTTTTTTACAACCCCATCTATAAATATGTTAAACAACCATGGTGATATCATGCACACATCCCTAAGGTGTACTCTTACTGGAAAGTAATCTCCCTCTTTCCTACACACCCTAAGCTAAGCTTCACTATGCTCATAAAAACTCTTTACACCTTTTAGTATCTTACCACCTATTCTATACATTTGTAACATCTGCTGCATTGTTACCTTATCCACCCTATCATATGCATACATTCAAGGTTTCTCTACATATTGTGTTTCAATCATTCCTAAGTGGTAATTACAAAATTATATTAAATTATGCCTTACATCTTCCAGTTCTTTTCTTATTAGCTCTCTGACAAGGTGATGTGCATGATTAACACTTCCCAAGCTTGCATATGTATGTAATGTCTGTCTGAGCACAGACAAATCCTTATTCAAGACTCCTTCTCGAAGACCACGCTCTAAGCCATGCTCCACATACTGACACACTTCAGCAACTCTCTGTCAACAAAAAAATTATACAGTATTAATTTGAGTTGCAAATTAAAGTACACTAGAATAAATGATAGCATAATCTGACAGGTAGTGAGAAAGACACCAAAGTACACTAGTGGAGTGTTACAAGATGGCTAATAGTTGGCAATATATTACAATCTTGCAGTACACCTACCATCCGACTTACGACCTGCTCGACTTACGAGCACTCGACTTACGACCGTGTTTTTTATGCCAAATTTCTGGGAAATAAACAACTATTTGTGTTGTACACAGTGTTTATCCTAAACCTTACAGTATAAAATACAGTACTTACAGCAAAAAAAAGTAAAGTAAAACATGAAATACCAAAATAAAACAATAAAATAAAGTCATTATAAAAATGTTTTGTTGATATTCAGTAGTAAAGTTCGACTTACAACCATTTCGACTTACGACCGGTTTTTCGGAACTGAACTCGGTCGTAAGTCGGATGGTAGGTGTATTTTACCTCTATTACATGCAATTTATCAGTCAGATTATATTTTTTATTCTCAAGATACAATGCAAAATAAGTCAAAACAAGACTCACGAAATTTTAATGACACGATTGCAAACAAACCATACCACGGGTGGGGATAGAACCCGCAATCAGACTCTCTGAGCGCAGGTTCTATCCCCGCCTGTGGTATGGTAAGTCAAAACAAATTTTAGTTTCCAAATGTACATAACTGACAAAAAAAGAAGTGATATTTCCTTCATACGTTCTGAAAAATACACTTGTTATGCAGTGCATTGGGGCAGATTAAAACCAGAACTTAAAACTACTGCACTTTACACTGCATAGTTGAAGTTAGAGTATTTGATTGTAAAGTTAAATATATGTACTGTACACATATCTTTAAGCTAGTTCTGTACTGTCAGTGAAGCTGAGGATGCTGTTAGGTAGCCATGGCTTATTTAATCTCTATGTTGTGACTTATTTGGTTTTCAAAGTACATCATTTATTGTACAGGCTTCAAATTTTTTATGGAGGCAAAGAGGGGAATGTATGAATGTATAGTGGTATCAACACTTATATGGGTTTGAAACATGGGCTGTAAGTGTTGGAGTGAGGAGGAGGCTGGAGGCAGTGGAGATGTCATTTCTGACGGCAATGTGTGGTGTAAATATTATGCAGAGAATTCATAGTGTGGTGATTAAGAGGAGGTGAGGAGATATTAAAAGTATTATCCAGAGGGCTGAGAAGGGGTTCTTGAGGTGGTTTGTTCACTTAGAGAGGATGGAGCAAAATAGGATGACTTGGAGGGTATATAAATCTGTAAAGGAAAGGCAGGGTAGGGGTTGTTCCAGGAAAGGATGGAAGAAGGGGGTAAACAAGGTTTTGTGTGCAAAGGGCTTGAACATACAGCAGGCAATTGTGAGTGTGTTAGACAGGAGTGGAGACAAATGGTTTTTGGAACCTAACAAGCTGTTGGAGTGTGAGCAAAGTAATATTTTGTGAAGGGATTCAGGGAAACTGGTTAGCCAGACTTGAATCCTGGAGGAGGGAAGCACAGTGCCTGCACTCTAAAAAGGAATTTGGGATATTGACTGTTTGGAGGAACATCTGAACTGCTGTATATGCGAGCCACTAGCAACATGTTGATAGTATGAATGATGGTGAAAGCATTTCTTTTTTGGGTCACCCAACCTTGATGGGAGACGGCCAGCATGTTAAAAAAAAATTGTTAACTACTCATTTTTTTAGCTACAATTAAACAGTGTCCCGTGGCCTGGTAGGCAACACTCTCTCCTCACACCTGCTGTCCAGTTCACTTAGCAAGCAAGTAGGTACCTGGGTGTTAGTTGACTGGTATGGGTTACATCCTAGGGGACAAGAGTTACGGACTCCAATGGAATTAAGACAGATAGTCCTTGATGAAGCACTGACTTTCTTGGGTTATCCTGGGAAGGTAACTCTCTGGGGTTAAAAATCCGAACAAAATCTTATGCTAACAGAAGTTCAAAGTACAAATCCTTACTGGTTTACAGACATCAAGAAGTGCTGCACCCTCACAGTGAGACACCAAAAAGTTGAGGTGGTTTACTTCAGCAGCTAAACGATCCACAAGGTCACCCTCTCCTGAACCAGAGTCCTCGCTGACAACATCTCCACAAATACCGTCCCTTCCACCAGATTTCAACAGGGCTTCTAACCGTTCTAACCTGTGTATGATAAATATTGTAATACAAATTAATGATACGAGATTTTATTTCTTAATATATGCAATGGAAACACAGAAATGGAAGATACATTTTATCTTATATGTGTTGAAACACATTTACTTGTTGAATGGCACATTCTTTAAGGAAATCCTTCAAAGAGTACATTGTTTTGAGAGATTCAGAAGAAAAGTTACAAATGTGAATGAAAGAGTTTGGGAGTATGTGAAATAAAAAAGCAGAAGAAAAACAAGAGGAAGGTATTGAAAGTAAGAAAAAGTCTAGGCAATGAAAGTGAGCATCAGATTGGAGGGAAGTTGCAAAGAAAAAGTAAATAGTATACCTAGATACAGTGAAAGATCGCAGTCAGCAGGACTCGATACTGCTACTGGGATGGACAAGATTCCCAGGCAGCATTCTTATCCACTTGGCCACTGTTACGACTTCGATATCGTAACTTAAATACAATGGTCCTGGCTCTTAAATGGCTGCACAATCTGCTGTCTAGGGGCATTAAAATTACACTACAAAAAACACAGCCACTCTAGGGCCAGCATGCACTCATATTAAATAATGAAGCATGAATGCAAATAATTAATATAGTACTACTACTCCACTAAAACATTATCTTAACTCCAGTTTACATTAGCTCACTAGCACACTGCTACTAATGAGTTAAACAGAGGGTATTGCAGTCCTGCTGACTGTGATCTTTTTCTGTATATACCTGCTTGTTTCTGCATGGTGCATTGATATAAAAATTGCTTGAGAGGTCAGAACATACAGGAGGAGATTGAAATAGCTTGAAATCCATGCCTGAAACTCAATGAAATGCCCAGGCTGGGAAAGAAACATGGCTTGTGAACCAGGCTGCCCAGCTAATGTGGCATTTGAGTGGCTGAGCGGATAAGAGCGCTGCGTGGGAATCTCATCCATCCCAGTAGCAGTATCGAGTCCTGCTGACTGCCATCTTTCTCTGTATATACCTGCTTGTTTCTGCATGGTGCATTGATATAAAAATCGCTTGAGAGGTCAGAACATACAGGAGGAGATTGAAATAGCTTGAAATCCATGCTAGAAACTCAATGACGTGCCCAGGCTGGGAAAGAAACATGGCTTGTGAACCAGGCTGCCCACCTTATGTGGCATTTGTGTGGCCAAGTGGATAAGAGCGCTGCCTGGGAATCTTGTCCGTCCCAGAAGCAGTATCGAGTCCTGCTGACTGCGATCTCTCTCTCTGTATATACCCACTTGTTTCTGCATGGTGCACTGATGCCTAGATATTTGGAAGTAGTGTTAACAGACAGATCTAGGAAAGATGAGATGAATCAGAATAGATAAGGATAGATAAAGGAAAAAAAAAAGGTAGGTGATGTGTGGAGACATTCATGCAAGAAAAACTCTTATCAGAGGGATAAAAAGGGAAATGTACCAGAGAACAGTTGGCCAACACTTCTGTATGAGTGTGAAGCATGATCTTTGTATACTGCAACAAGAAGGCAGCTGGAGGTAGTGATGTTATGCTCATAATCAATAAGTAGTGTAACCATTATGTAGAGAATAAGGAGATTAAGAGATATTAGAAGACAGTGTGGTGGTGAATGATGTATAATTCAGAGAGCAGAGTTGTTGAGGTTTGGTCACTTAGATAAAATGGAGCAGAACTATTCCTACAGATCTATTCCTACCTTATCTCAAAGAACATACTAAACCCCTGTCATTTCAGATTCAGGAACAATAAAAGCACAAATGATGCTATTATACACATGCTAGAGCTAATATATACAGCTCTTGAGAAGAAAGAAGTCCCACTGCGAATTTTCATTGACTTACATAAAGCTTTTGAAACAGCAGACCATGAATTGCTGCACACTAAATTAACACACTATGGTATAAAAGGCAATTCCCTCAACTACTTAAAGTCATAACTTGGTAACAGAAGCCAATACGTGTACGAAAATGGTGCAAACTCTTCCCCACGACCAATCACAGTAGGAGTCCCACAGGGAAGTGTCTTAGGACCACTCCTCTTTCTCATCTACATCAATGACCTACCGAATGCATCACAGCTACTCAAACCCATATTATTTGCAGATGGCACTACATACATCTTCTCACACCCAGACCCAGCCATACTCGCCAACACTGTCAATACTGAATTGCAGAAAATATCTACCTCGATGATGATGAATAAACTTACCCTAAATACTGACAAAACCTATTTCATTCATTTTGGAACCAGAGCTGCAAATGGTCCGCTTAACATAACACTAAATGGATCACCCATCACAAGACTCACAGAGGGAAAATTCCTAGGAATCCACCTAGACAGTAGCCTCAAATTCCAGACACATATACAACAAATTTCCCAAAAAAATCTCAAAGACAGTAGGCATACTGTCAAAGATACGGTACTATGTTCCACAATCAGCTCTCCTTGCACTGTATCATTCACTCATCTACCCTTATCTCACATATGGAATTTGTTCATGGGGGTCAACAACATCAAATCACATAAGGCCACTAATAACCCAGCAAAAGGCTGCAATCAGAATAACAAATTCCCACTCCCGACAGCATACTTCACCTATATTCAGGAGTCTAAATTTGCTCACCATAAAGAATATCCACACTTATTCATGTGCCTACTACATACAGAGAACAATACACGCAAACATAAACCCTCCACTCAAACTTCTCCTCACCAACCTTAACAGGACACTCGACCATAACACAAGATACAGATCTCTTTTTGATGTACCGTGTCCATATCACACTGTGTAAAAACTCTATGCACATAAAGGGCCCAAAAATCTGGAATTCATTACCAGAACATACTAAAGAAACCAGGCCTGAAAATTAATTTAAGACTCTTCTAAAAAACCACTTACTCACCCAGGACTAAATAATCAACACTCAATATTTAACATTACCAATAATTCTCCCAATTACTTAAATCTTAATATTTCAAGACAACAAACTTCGAGACAGCATATAGCAAACTGATCATCTTTTGATTGGAATGTGACAAATTTGTACAACTATAATGCTTCAGTATCGATATGTTCAAATTTCATTGTTTCAAATACTGATTTGTACTTCAAATTGTGAACTGTTTACTGTAATTTTTAACATTGAACCTTTCACTGCTTGTTAATTTTAAGTTAACCCTTTGACTGTTGCAACCCCCAATCCCGAGGTGTCTCCTGGTGTCGCAAAATTTAAAAAAAAAAAAAAAAAAAATTTCTTATGAAATGATAGAGAATCTTTTCCCGATTGTAATGACACCATGTGAGGGAAAAGTTCAATAGATAGGAGTAGCGATATAGAAACAATAGTTTCATTGCCGGCTACTTGTTAAGGTAGGGTAAGTCCAGCTCCCGCTATCCCCCCCCCCTTTTTCCCCCTCCTCGAAAGTGATAGTTTGCTTGCCGGCTACTTGTTAAGGTAAGGCAAGTCTAGCTCCCGCTATTCCCGCCTTTTTTTTCCCCCACCCCGAAAGTGATAGTTTGATTGCCGGCTGCTTGTTAAGGTAGGGTCAGTCTAGCTCCCGCTAACCCTTCCCCTCCTTCTTCCCCCCCCCCCCCCGAAAGGTGACGTGTGGGGCTCCGGTCCAAACAGTAATCACTAGACTCACAGCTCCCAGCACTACTGTAAGTACATGCCTGCCTTGTATTCTAGTGGATTTATTGATTGAAAGCTTCACTTTTGACCAATAATAAACTTAGTCCTTTCAGTCTTGCTCTAAGTTGACTGTTATAATAATCACCACATCTTTTAGGTATTGTACTTATCATGGAGAGTGATTTCTTAAGCAGTGGGTAACCTGTCTATCTTTCCAGCTTGGATGACAGAGAGGGTCACCTGCCAATCAACGAGTAGAATTGAAGGAGACGGACTAACGTTCTGAGATGTCCCAAATTTTGATCCACTTACCTGTTTGTGTATGCAAGTAGCACGATATAACCCCTCATCATTGCAGTGGAGAAAACCTACTTTCCTGTCATCTGGAAGGATTATTGAAAGCTAGAAAATCTGTGAAGAACGAGCCGGTGGGTTATCATCAACACTTGCGACCCTCCCCCCATCATCAGCAACGGCTACGATTTCAACAACACGCAGTGTCACCAACACCAGACACCCACGTTTTATATACATTTATATTAGCGTTGAATTCACTTATCATTTATATTTTTCATTTTTCATTTTCTTTAATGTAGGATTAATACTTCATATTTAAGTGTTTTATATTTTATATTTTCTAAATAATAAAGTGTTTATGTTTGTCAGTTTTTATTCTTTTTCTATACATTAATTTTCCTGAGGAGGAGCCAGCCTTGGTAATACTGTCTGAAGTTGTTACAGGGCTGAGTATGCCTTCACACACCAAAAAAACGAAATCTGATGGAAAACTAACGGATTTATGCTCTCGCGAAGTTAGCAACCTTGGCGATGTTTACAAAACTGCGATTTCGCCCACTTTGAGCCCTATTTTTGGCTAATTCCATTGTTCCAGTCGACCAAACGCATAGCTATTTCTTTAGAACTCCATTTTTTCTATCGACTGAGTACACGAAACTGCCCATTTACCGATTTCAACTACCCAATAATGTGGTCAGAAATTTGCAATTTGGCCAATTTCACGAAAATTAAAAAATATGACAATTTCAAAATAAGGTCCAGAATGAACAATGCAGACATTCCTGGCTCTAAAATAACATTTTCTTTGTTCATCAGTCATGTTTCCAGGCCCCTCTGATATTACTCTTGCTTTCTATTTTGAATTTTTATTCAAAAAAAAAAAAATAGAAGACTTACTATTATGCAGACTACTGCAATACTGTAATAATTGTATAAATAACATCAACCCATTCATGACTGCATATTAGAATGGCTAGTTGGACATTTATTGGACAATGACATCATTTGTTTACTTTTGAACATTGGCAAAAATCAAACATTTTCCCTACTTTGAGCTCCATTTCCAGGTTCTTTTTATAGTA